GTAACTGTACAGTTTCTTCTACATAATCATGTAGCACCAAAGATTTTATTTTGCTAGCTATATAAAAAAAATTTTAAGTAGCCTAACCCTAAATCCGAATATATTACAGAAAGGTTGTTTACATAGAGGCCTTTAAAACGGGATGATCTAGCTTTCAATAATACTTTCCTTGCATTCTAAACACAAGGGAAGAAAAAAGTGCTAGCTTTAAGCCCATTAATCTTGGATAGTCTCTTGGAGCGATTCTAACCTTAGAACACATGCAAATTTATTAGTAAAATAGATTGAAAGAACTGAATCAAGAAAAAGACAAGGTACTTTATTCCCAGCTTTTTAAAGTTTTCGAAATGCCTATAGGAGATATTCTATTTTGTTTATCAGTTGGTTATCTAGAAAAGAATCCCAGTCTTCCGCTTACTTGAATGGTTTAAAGTAAAATTAAAATATTATCTTCTTACCATTTGGCCTCCGATGGGTTCAAAATTAAAATATTAACAAAATACAATCCCTATAGTAAGGTAATGTTTAGTAAAAATTTCCTTCTACACCCCATACTCGTAAATCAAATGTAGCCTAATTATACTTGTATAGAAACTGCCTGAAATCCTCTTTCCCTTGTTTACTCTTACATAAAGGTCATTCTAAAAGAATAACTTAATAATATTAAATCTACAGCTTAATGGTAACTCGTCATACGTGGATGGTGACAGACCTACATTGAAGACAAATGTGTGGGCTAAAAACATGTGTATGCTGACAAAAAAGGTTTACCATGCTTACGACAAGAATTGTAACGAATAGATACTTTTCTGGTAGATTCCTCCATTATATTGTGGATTAAAACACTTGATTTTATCAGATATTGCTTGATAGACAAGTATGAACTAAGTTTGGCATCAGATAGGCATGTAAGAATTAAAATTTGGCCAAAGTCGTTACGACTTTTGTATATAAAATAGCAGTGATATCGTATTAACTAAAAGCCAAAATTACAGTATATATATATATATATATATACTATAATTTGGAAGAATCTGACTTGAAGCGTCAAGAGGCTTATACGTTTTTACTCTGATTTATCATTTATACATATTCATTTGTAGGTGAGTAATATGGAAGCGAATAAGTTGATTACGCTGACGGAGATTAAAAAAAAGTACTCATATACCTTCAAGAAGCTTGCTTTAGTCTTTCTCTTAAAGGGTCTAGTTAGTAGCAAAAACTCAACAATGAATCAAAATTTAATGTATAAAAACAATGTATGTTAGCAATTATATGGTTATTGATAATGTTATTAACGCTCTCTAAGTCAGTCAAAACCCAAATGACCGCACTAGTCATCACAATATCGATTTATAAAGCCAAGTAATTAATACAAATTAAATCATAGGACAGTACGGAAAACCTCTGATTTTTATAGGCTTCATTATGGTTATGGCAAATTAGCTTATACAATGTTGTTTTAATATATTGCTGCTGCTAGAAATCGTATTTAGAGCTATTTTCGTAAAGATTTTAGTGTAAGGCTTACTTTTGTTGAGTAAACGTATAAATGCTGCTGCAATAAAATTGATTTATAATAACAGAGAGACTGTGCTTTCCTTTTATCTATTGAGCTGCCTTTTTGCAAGCGACTACAGGAGAGTAAAGCAACTAAATTTGTGCATATCCTAATTATTGTTCATTTATTGGGTTTCATAAGAACAAAAAACAATAAGAAATGCAAAATAAATAGGTTGATATATTCAAAACGTTTTTTTATTACGAAGTTGGTTGAACAAAATTTTTATCTGTTCATTCATGAACATTTTATTACCAGTAATATGAGTCTCGAAACTCTACTCTAATACGAAAATTTTATAACCAAAAAGGCTTTCCTATTTGCTGTGAATAAAATGCAATTTACTCAATTGTTTCTCGTAAAAATGACAAAAACACCATGAAAGAACTTGCATTTTTTATTAACTTGCTCAAGAGTATTATGAATAAAAATTTTTTCAATGGATTTAATGTGAATGACAATATCTTTGAGTCCATGCTCAAATGCTTCGTTCCTAGTATTCTCTCCTAATAAAGCTATGAAAATCAATCTTATGTTAAAAGATTAGCAAAAATTATGCGACAGTTATTGCGAATAATTATAGAGATAATGCTACCTAATAATATCTTTGTAATTGAAAATTCAGACACGAGATAAAAAAATTTAATCGAATTATATAAGATGTTGATGCTGGAAGGGTAGTTGAATTTTTTCACAATCACATGCGTAGAGATAAAATTTTAATGAATTTCACATAGCTTTACCTTCCCAAAAGTTGTTATCATCCAGGGATAGAGCAATTGTAAAGATTATACGCTGGCCTATCAGGATTGGACTCGCGCTAGTGCTGTTGATAAAACCTTGGCCAGATCGCAACTGCAGTCCAACCTGGATGAGGGAAACTTTTTTGAAGGCAAGACTGTGTGAAATTCAATGGAAGCATAACCCCTACACATATCACTGTGGAAAATTCAATTACCAGTCCAGCATCACCTTGAACAAAATAGGATGAATGCATATCATATAATTGGTTTACTGGTAGTCTCGAAACTATGCTTATAAACGAAAAGTTTCAATCCAATCAGATTCTGAGCCCGTCAGTATTTATTGTATAAGAAATTGATCATCCTGGGTTGATTAAAGTGATTTAATGATTGATAGTTAAGTATTCTGTTAATAAAATAATATATAACGCGTTCGCTGATTTTCCATATACAGTAAAAGCCTATTTATTTAGGAAAAAGTTTTAAATTTTAATAAATCCTATCGCTTATTGATGTGAAGACTTTCAATTCGTATGGAAGTACATGATGAAGAGATTCGTAGGTCAATCTCACCAGAAGACGCCAGCTGATTCGCATTTTACTGCAGCCGTTTGGCATTACTACGACGTTCAGGTTAATGCAGCGGTAAGCTGAGTTTTCGTTCGTCATGAGAGGAACATCGTTAGAGTTAAGACCTATTCTTGTAAAAGACTAATGTTAGCACAAAGTCAAGAAGACTGACCGGCATTTTTCTATATGACATATATACTATTTGTGAGAAAAATTGACAATTCGCTTGAAAAGGTTTTCGAGATAAAGATACAAGTTGATATAGAAACGTTAGGGGATATCTCGTAGACTGCATCAACCTGAACATCGTATTAATGCCAAACGTCTGCAGTACAACGCAAAACAGCCGACGTGTGATGAAATTCGGCTAAGAATCTCTTTATCATGTACTTCAATACGAAATGAAATTCTTCACAGGAGATTATTCGAAACCCGCGTATTCATATTGATTAAACATATTGACATGATCGTTTGCATGTCAGAGTTATGTGGAATTAGTTTACTCCAAATAAGCTCAGAGGAATCATTCTACTACAAAGCAAGATCACACTGTAATCTTATGATATAGTAAGACAGTAATAATAAAAAGCATATAACTAGGGATGAAACATATGAGAATATATATAGTCAGAATATAAAAAAGACTAATTTAAATATTGCTAAAGTTAATTAACCAAACCATTCTAGATCGATCTATTTAGGTTTTTAATTTTCTTTTGGCTCAATTGAGTCTATATAAGAAGTATGAAACAGCCCGATAGTGTTCTTGCACTAGTGCCAACGTAAGGCTTTTACAAGAATGACACCCAGCTCTCAGGATGTTCATCATATGATGGACGAAAGCTCAGCCCGTTTTCACTCGAACTGGGTGAGGAGTCTCGTGGACTGTGTCAACATGAATATTGTATAAAAGCCAAACGGCTGCAATATAACGAGATTTATCCTTCATCATCTGGTAAGATCGGCCAAAAAAGCTATTCTTCATGTACTTCCATACGCAATGAAGGTCCCTTTAACAATATTATCTTAAGAGCCTAATCGAAACCGAGTTTCTCTTGGTATCTATAATTTAAATACTAAACAATTCTTAAGCTTAAAGCTAAAAATTTTAAAATAATGTTAATTAATTTATATAATAAATATAAATATGCATGTAAAGATTTTTTTCTTTAAAATATAACTTGTTATTTTGGACTTCTATACTTAGTTTAAATACACCATTTACATGGACTTTAAAACTCTGCCAAATTTAGTTTATTCACATGCCAATGTAGTAGTAGAATCAATTGAAAATACCTTCGTACACACTAAATTGCAAAATATTTTTGAGACATGACTAATATAAAGAATGCTTCATTGTCTTTCTGAGTTGAAGATAAAATTAGGTCTTACAACAGCACCTCAACCAGCTAAACGCAAAATACCTTTAGGACCCATAGGCAAAAAACATTTTAAGGACTCAGGTTACACACTTATCCAACTTTATGGGGACAATGAAGTCAAGACGTCGCGATATACTTGGTATAATTTTATATTTAAAAATCTTAATGAACAAGCACAAAGAGTTGCAAATTTTTATTTTATCTGTATCGTGATCCTTCAAGCATTCACCGACTCTCCAGTGACTCCATTTGTTTCAATTCTTCCTCTTGCTTTTGTCATAACACTTACTTTAATCAAACAAGGTTACGAAGACTGGCTCAGACATAAAGCAGATAGAGAAATAAACTACACACCTGTTCAAATTATAACAGAAAACGGCGATCTCACTGTAATTCCTGCAAAAAGCATACAATTAGGCGACATCGTCTTATGTCGCGCAAATGATACTTTCCCATGTGATATGGTTTTGTTAAGTTCTAGTGAGTATTCTGGTGAATGTTTTGCCACAACCTCAAGCTTGGATGGGGAAACTAATTTGAAAAAATTTCTGTCTCCAGCTGAAACAATGGATTATGAAACACCCTCTTCTATTATTTCTAACTTGTCAGGACTTATAGTTTGCCAACAACCAATTGCTGACCTTTACAAATTCATTGGCCGCATTGAAGTTTCTAAACCTGGACACCCTATTCCCATTACCATGCCAATCGCCACTGAGAATCTTCTTTTACGGGGCGCAAGACTAAGAAACACTGATTACATTTACGGATGTGCTGTATATACTGGACAAGATACTAAAATGGCAATGAATTCAAAGGGTAAACAAACAAAATTTAGTCAGGTTGAGCGAAAGTTGAATGCATTTCTCGTTATTATACTCATATTTTTGATTTGTATCTCACTTCTTTATACAATACTTAAGAACGCTTCAGCTAACAACTATATTTGGTATATAAACTCGATTCCAAATACAGCATGGTTGATTGTACAAGATTTTCTCGGATTTATTGTACTTTTCAATTACATCATACCTATATCGCTTTATGTCACAATTGAAGTGCAAAAATTCGTTGGATCGATGTTTTTTGTATGGGATAAGGAGTTATATGATGAAAAATTGAATCAGCCTGCTGTCGCAAACACGTCGGATATAATAGAAGAAATGGGTCAAGTGAGTATAATAAAGATTACACGTTATTAAACATATTTAAAAATTAAATTTTTGAATAGACTTATATATTGAAGGCTAATTCTACCTTAAGAATTAACTTAATTTATGTAAGGATACTATTAAAATAGTGTTAATTGCTAGCCTGGTTATTGAAATTTGATATATATATATATATATATGTTTCCATTTGATGATGGAAGGCCTATCTTTGGACTGTATCGAATATATGTATTCGACTTAGGTTTGTCTCAAAAAACATTCTCAAATTCAACCTAAATTCCTGGCTCGAGTTTGACTTTATCTCATTACCATTACCTAAGGGATTACACACCGTTTAGTATATTTAAAATACCAATGATTCAGCGTACGGTGATAGAACGAGCTCAAGTTAGTCACAATCCCGACAGATATTTCAAGCAAATTAAAGCTTCATTCAATTTACATTTGTTCTAGTACAGGTTTAAATGGTTAGACTCATATTTTCAATTAAATCTGATAATGTCCTTATTTACATAACTGATAGATAAGCTTTCTCCGCTAAGACTCAGGGCCCAGTTTAGAATTCGATTCACGATTGTACTATCACTCCTTTTTCTGTTCTGGTTCGTTTATATACTTCCTAGCCGCTTATTTCAATCCTGCCCTATAGCAATTCCTGAATTGTTTATATTCCACTCCTAAGAAGGTGCGCCATTTTAGACTAGTTTAGTGTGGCATCACATTTAATGTTTACCCTGCGCCTTCTCCCCGTTTCACTAACACATTTCTGCTCGCAGAACCCGCATGCTATGTAGTAAATTCCCGTGCAATCTAGTTTGCCCACCCTCTCCTGTTGCGTGGGTAACCTAGTAAGAGTGTTGTTCTTTCCTTAATGGTAATCTGATTAATCAATTTTACTAATATTGAGCCAGTTCGCACGAATAGAGGCATATCCACTTTTGTGAGCCTTTCTCTGTGGTTACTTTTTTTATATATTCCCCATCCTGCCATCGGATTTTCACGGCCGGTATGTTTCTTTATATTACTCTTTCCGAGTATCCGCTGCCAAGGGGTATCCGAGTCGATTTGTCCATTTCTAAATCCAAGAATTCCACATCAGTTCTGATTAATATATTACAAATTATTCCAAAATTGGGTCTGTAATTGTGATGACACTATACATTGAGTATTATTCCAGCATATTAATTGTTTCCGAATAACTTTCCCTTCGGTGTCTCATTAGGGCGAATTGTTTCAACATCCACGAAAGGTTTATCCCCCTCCATTATTCCCATTGTGAATTTGATTCTTTCATTAATCCGGTTTATAAACTTCAGGAAATCCTCCGATTCTTTTCTTCCATTCGACCAAAGTTCGAAGTAGTCATCCATGTATCACATAAGCACTTTTGGTTGCAGCAGTGACGTTCTGAAGTTCTGTCATAATTTTTTCATATATACGTTTGTTAAAAGAGGTAAAAGCTACGATCCCATAGGAATTCCAAAAATTTGTTCATAGATTTTACCATTCAATTTGAAGTAGGTTGTCCTTATTGTCAAGGTGAATATTTGTATAAACAATTACCTCTTGATCCTCTCTGCTTCTTTTCTCTCGGTCCAAGATCTTTAGCAGGGCCATTGGAGAATGTTCTCTAGGAACGTTTGTATAGATGGATTGCACATTAAAACTTACCAATAATTCTGTTTCTTCTAGTGCCTTATTTTTGATCCTTTGAAACAATTTATATGAATGTTTCGCTCTGTATGATAAACTACTATTCACCTTCTTGTGTTTAAAACATATAAACTGCTAATTTGTGCGTTGCCCCATGCTTGTTGTTGACTATCAGCCTTAGGTGTTCCCCTTGTTTGTGTATCTTCGGTAATCCGTGAGCTGTTGATGGTCTTGCCTATTTTTTATGATTGAATTATTTGTCCGTACGTCGTTTTCGGCATTTCTATGGCTATCTTTCTGCATGCAAAGAAGAGTTCCATTTGTCTTCATAGTTGGGTCCTTTAGTGCACGATACGTGGTCCTACCTGGCAGTATACATTCCATTTTCTATGTATACTGTATACTGTCCATTATTACTGTAATCCCTTATTTATCCACCTGAAGGACTAATTGTTTATTCATTTGTAGGGTCATTTGTATCCTCGAAAATATGCTCCTGTATGTTGGATCCTGATGAGTCGATATTATTAAGATTATTTCTATCTCTACTTCCTGCTTTGTCTCCTCAGGCAAATTGTCGGAGATATCTAAACTAGGATGTATTCTAGAAAGTATATGTACTATTAAAGTGAAAAGTTTAGTCCTTTCTTCAGGAGCATATTGGTAAGGATAAATTCATTACTTTAATCTGATCGTCGTATTGGACAGTAGGAGTTGTCACCTTGGAACTATTCAACAGTGCGCGGTAGCTATAAATTAAGTTTTTTTGAACATAATTATGCTTTAGGAACTACCAGTAGATCATGGATATAAGATAAATTCATCTTATTGTGGATAGGGAGATGAAGGACTGGCAGGTGAATTTTCTCACAATGATGTGAATAGACATGACACTTTCATTGAATTTCACATAGCCTTAGTAGTTGTTTGACCTTGTTTTTACAATTCGGTCTTATTGGAAGAAAGACCTAGAGGAAAGTGCCTTGTTCGGAGTCCATAGTATGCATGATTTTTTGCAGTCGGAACGTGGATTTAGTACATTCCCAGAAGTTTCGTCGGCACCACACTACAAATCGTTAAAGAGACAAGTGAATACGGTCCTTTGGCCAATTGTCTGCGAAACAGTTGTGCTAGCTCTCTTTCTGTCCTGGGCTATTTACCTAACCTATATCCTCGTATCACCGCTTCAATATATTAATTTCCTAATTGTCTATCTAAACCTAGTTGGGACCTATTAACAATCCCCGCTGGTTGCCATATCCGCTCTACTATGCTGGAAGGGTTGATCCAAGGCTGCAGTTTATTCCGCAATCCTCTTCCTCCAAATCCTATCATAGTCTCTTACTTGCTGTGTATGATCATTCCTTAATCTGCCTGGTTGAGTGATTCCAGTATCACTGTGCGGCATGTGCACCGAGTTCATCTCATGCTCAAGCCTTTACTTCACGGACCACGTCTATGAGCAAACTTATGTACTAATGGCCAACTATCACTGGTCACCAGTGTTTCTCTCGCTCTTCTTTCTCTAATACCAAGTCTCTTGTGTGCCAACCCCCAAATACGATAGTTCTAGTTGATTTGAACAGGATTACTTTAGAAGTCTCCTCTCGGTTTCCGATTGTTCCTCTCAGGTCTCCTTATAATTTATTTTCCTAAAATTAAAAATATTTCCTTGATCCAGTCTTCTTCTTTTGGCTGATATTGCTGTTCCCTGATATTCGACGAGTTTGCTTAGCCAGTATGCAAAGTGTTTGCTAATCTAGCGTTCTTCAAGTCCCTTGTTCATTAGATTCTTTTCAATCAGAATATCGGTGGCTTCTCATATCTTTCGTTTTCTTGTATTTCCACCATCTACAGCCTGTCTTTCTGTCGATTTTCACTCGATTTCGTGTCCCATTCGTGAAATGCGCTCTTCTATTTCGGATCCTTCAGTGTCCATGTTTCTGCAGAGTCTTTGGTGTTTCTTGATTCATAGGCTGATTTTTTTCCTGTTTCACCATATACCTCTGCTCACAATTGCTGCATTTGAGGCTATAGACTCCCGAGGAGTCCGGTTTCTCAACTTCCTCGTGTTGCATCTGCTTACTGGCGAAGAGTATTGTCTTTTCTTTTGTTATCACCTTGATATATAATTTTCCTAGAAACGGTTGCTATTTGTGACTCAACTAACACACAATATACCACTAAGAAATTCTTCGAAACCCAGTTTTTCTTCCGGCTAGGAAGCCCAAGTCGGTTCAACAAATCGAGAAAGAGGAGGGACGAGTTGAACAGCAGGTGTGATGACTCCACCCTGAATTCGCCAAGAAGGGGCACTTCTCTTAAGGAGTAGAATAGAAATAATTGAGAGATTGGGATATAACAGGAGTGAGCTAAGAAGGTGGAGAATATGTAGATGGGCCAGGACAGAAAAAGGAGTGATAAAACAACCGTTTCGGCAGAAAGTCGCTCAAGTCATTGACTTCACTTGTCTTTTTGCCGGGTCGAAGCTTGGCGTTGAGACTGGCAAGACTCACAGACAATGCCGACTACTATGTCGGCGAAATGTTTGGGAATGTACCTAGTTCCCGGTCCGACTCTAGGACTTCTGATATCTAATAGAGCAGAGGATTTCGGACTGGGTGTGTCCAACTAGGTCGCTTTGACAACATGACCAAGTTGCGAAAACGTGGTCGGATTACCTCTTTGCATCTAAAGGAGACTGTGACAAAATTAATGGCCACAACATCCACATTTACATGTTACTTCTCTAACTATAGTTGGTAATGCGTGCACAAAATGACGTGAATCCCGGACGCTTCAAGGTCCTGAACCCTGTTTGAAGTCTTCCAGTTTCATAACGATCCATGCTATTGAGTACTTAAGAGAAAGATAAATGAGGCGGGGAAATTTGTGCTGTCCTCTTCGGATGTTGCAGGCCAGGGTCCAAATTTTTGCCACTTATGTTGGACCGAATCCAATTGTATGTTGCCTCTAGGAGATGATATCACAATTAGCACATCTGTCCTTCACACCATTCACTAAGATTCTATGTGATTGCTCAAAGTAACGCTTTTGGAAAAGTATTTTACCTTTAAATGGGATAATTACAAATAGACTATCCCAAAGGTATTACGTCTGGAGCGTCATGTTCTGATATTCGAGGTAAGTCTGGCATGAGGCGAATAGCTCTCTTCAAATTGTGAAGAGTTATTGTGCGAATGTGTGAAATAAAGAAATGTCTGCCATTATACACATAAAGTGAGTAGGCTGGAATCTATTTGTGGATCTTGAACAAGAGTTCGAATTACACCTGTTCTTTGAGAGTATAGAAGGAATAAAAGTTAAATTTCCCAAAAGGCAAAAGAGATAGCCTCATTTTGTCATATCTTTTCCCG